AAACTGAAGTCGTTATCCCACCCCCCCTCCCCAAACCCTCCCCTCTTCCAAGCTTCCCTATATCTGTCAAAGGCACCACCATTCCTCCAGTGTCCTAGTTTCATAACCTTGGCAATATCTCTCCCTCATCCCAAATAGCCAAAAGTTATTGCCAAACCTTGCCCTTTTGACCTTGCAACATCTCTCCCATCTGACCCCTTCTCTCTGCTCCATGTAGCTACCATCTTCCTTCAGATTGTTGCTCCAGCCTCTTCATTGGTCTCCCTGTCTTATGTTCCCTCTCACTGTAGCCCATGCTCCATGCTGCTGCCAAAGCAGGTACAACCCCTAGAAAATCAATTCCAATGGTCCCCTACTACCTAGAAGATGAAATATATGTTTCTCTGTTTAGTTTTTAAAGCATTTTGAAATCTGGCCCCACCTCCCTTTCCAGCCCCATTGGATGGCCCTCCTTCTATACTCTGGGATCCTCCAAAGTCCTGCCCACTATCAAGGAGCAATGTCCTTCAGAGACTGACAGACTAACAAGGCTGCTTCCTGAAATCAGAAATAGAAAAAAAAAAGCTTAGTTCTAATTCAACAATTGGTTATTAATATAATAGAAAAATCACTTCTCTCAGCAAGAAGATGAGATTTGGAAATAGAAAAATCCAATTGGAATCCAAGCCCTACTATTGAGGCCAATGACTACACCTGTAGCCTCTTTATCTGATTTTGTGTACTCCCAGGGTCATTTTTTTTACTAGCCCTGGACAGGGCAGTTAGATGTTGCAGTGAATAGAAACACTGGGCTTGGAGCTAGGAAGATCTGAGTTTTAGTCTGGCCTTAGACACTTAATGGCTGCCTCCCCTCTGAATGCTTCTACACAGGCCATCCCCCAAGCCTTGCTGCACTCTCCCAGCCTTGGAAACACAGCTTGGGCATTGCCCTCTAGCTAATATTTCTCCTCTTTCCCCCCAACACCGAGTGCCCTCTCATCCCAGCTTACCTTGTACTTAATGATTTTGTATTTTACTCTCCTTAGATTTATGCAGTCTATACTTTTACAAGTCCTGGTTGTCTCACCCATTAGAATGTCAACTCCTGGAGGGCAGAGATTGTCCCAAGTCCATACTAAATACTAGCAGGTTGTCACCTGATAAAGGGATCGGGGATGTGGCATTTCAGTTAGTCACTTTAAGTGGGGTGGAGTGGTGATTGATTTAATTGCCCTCCACCCCCACCCCCTTACAAAGGAAAGACGTGCCAGGAAAGATATTAACTTTGAGACACCTTCCTCCCCACCCCTCGTACACACCCTCGGTGCTAAAGTCAGAAGAGGCTTAGCTCCAGTACATGGGGCTCTCCCGGCTGGCTCTGGCTCCCTCCTGCTCCTCCCAGGCCTCACCACTGAGCAACCCAACCTTCTACTCTCAGACCCATGGGTCCCCCAGGGTGGGGGTTCTGTGGGACAGCAGTTCAAACTGGTTTACTCTGGGACTGGATTTGCCAGCTCCAAGCTGGCTAGAGGCTTAGCTCACTGAGCCTTAGGCTTGAGCAGTGGGGCCCTTGGCTGGGAAGACAAAGGAAAGGAGGAAGGAAGGAAAGGAGGGAGGGAAGGAAGAAGAGAAAAAGGGAGGAAGGGAGGGAGGGAAGAAGACAGGGAGATGAGTTTTCTCTCATGGAAATGCCCAAAGCAACCACCCATTCTGCCTTGGGTACAAGGCAAGGGAAGCCCCAGCCTTAAGATGGTGGGGAACAGCTGGAAATTCTGGGGAGGGGCCTCTTGGGCCCACAGAGGGAGGTTCCCATGGTGGTCACCAGAGGGCCGAGCACCAACACTCCTCCCTCCCTGAACCTTTGGCCTGGGCAGAGGATGATTGGAGAGAGAAGAGTCTGGAAGTGGGGAGACCAGGAAAGATGTACAGGAAAGATGTGATGAGGGCCTGAAGCTGGCATTGATTGTGTGGGTAAAAACAAAGGGGACAAACAGCAGAGGCCTACGAGGAGATACTTGAGGAGACCTGGCTACTGATTAAATATGGGGGCTTGGAGGAGATTTGAGGGCAACTCTGTTGTTTTTTTTTTGTTTGTTTGTTTTTAGTGAGGCAATCGGGGTTAAGTGACTTGCCCAAGGTCACACAGCTAGTACATGTCAAGTGTTTGGTCTGAGGTCACATTTGAACTCAGGTCCTCCTGACTTCAGGGCTGGTGCTCTATCCATTGCGCCACCTAGCTGCCCCTTGAGGGTGACTCTGAATGGGTGTCTTGACGTTAGAAGGAGGGTTGGATTTAGGAGGAAAGATGAGTTCTGCTTTGGACATACTGAATTTGAGCTGTAGGTGAGCCATTCAAGAGCAGGTCTCTACTGTGGCAAAGCCATCATTGCAAACAAAGAAACCCAGGACTTCCATTTCTAGGACCTTTTTAAGGTTTGCAAAGCACCTCACTTCCAACAACTCAGTGACTGAATCATTGCAAACAAAGAAACCTGGGACTTCCATTTCTAGGACTCTTTTAAGGCTTGCAAAGCACCTCAGTTCCAACAACCCAGTGACTGAAGGAGAACGGTCATCCCCTTTTTCCGGATGAGAAAACTCAGGGTCAGAGAGATCACACATACAGTAAGGAAGTATCTGAAACCTAGTTTCCACTCATCTCCTAAGGCCACAAATGCAGCCAAGACTCGGTTCTTCCCTTACCACTCCCCTTCAGCGACACACAGGCAGACCCACGCCTCGGGTGCCAACCCTGCCAAGTCATTCCCAACTAGCTTTGTGGCCTTGGCCAAGTCACCGCATAATCCTAGTCGCTTCCTGCCCTGGTCAGATTTAGGCTTTAGGGAAAAAAAAAACCAAAACACCTCAGCGCTAGCTGTGAAAGGGCCAGATTAAGGCTCTCTGGGCCTTCGCCTTGAGGCCTCAAGGCGGCTAATGAGCGCAGCAGGCCGGGAACTAGATTCGATTCAACAAATATTTCTCTAAGGTCATTTCCAGTTTCTATTCTTGAGGCAGAGACATAGAAGAGCTCATATATACACATCCATGTACGCCCACATACACACCTTCGGTCCACACATATACAATGGGGTAGAGGCCCCATCACCTCTTTGCCTATTTCTTCCATTCACAGGAAGGATCTTTTTCTTTTTTAAAAAATTTTTATTTTTTTCTCTCTCTTTCTTAATGACCAACTATTCCAACTGGTTCCATCTCAGGACCAGAAATGCCCAGACCTGCTTTGAGTTGGGGGCAAGGAGGTTCATTCTTGCAATCAGAGAAAGACAAAGTTTAGCTAGCAGGGGACTTTACATTCATTAATCCACCTCCGCCTCCCCACCCCACTCATTTATACCGAAGAGGCAGCTGGAGGATCCCTCCGAGGCACCACCCTTCCTTGTACTCACCTATGTTTTAAGGCCTCGGGGAACTTGTTACCAGCCCAAAGCTTACCCCACCACCACCACCCTCGACCCTCAATCTACAATCCTGTAACAACTCTCAAGGACAGCCCCAGATATGTCATCCCTTTCTCGATTTCAATGTAATCTTATTTCTGCTGATAGTTTGGTTATTGCAGTATACTCTTTTACAAATTTATCGGTCCCTTCCGATGCAACAAGTCATACTATGTAGGGAAAAAGAAAAAAGAAAAAAAAAGGCAGCTCAGCAAAACCAACCCATTAACTGTGTTAGATAGTGCAAGTAATATTCCATACCCCTAGTCCTCCACCTTGAAAAAAGGGAAATCCGTCACCCCTTTAAATGAGAGCTACCGACCCAGAAAGGGATGTTCGGTTAGGACAGCTTAGCAACCGCCCCCACCTCCACCCCCTTTCCAAGTTCATGCTTCCCTATTTGCCCCCTTGGGCCATTCCACGAACCCCATTCAGCGCCAGGGAGGGGCTAGAGGTGGGGCAGGCAAATGGAAGGCGGGGGGGGGGTCAGGGAGCAGACCAGTCTAGGCTTATGGGGGCAGGAGGGAGGGTGGGCAGTGTTTAAAGGTGCCCCGGGGTTGCAAAGGGAGAGGGGCGAGGAGGAGGAGCAAAGCCCAGGAAAGGGGGGCTGACGAGGGGAGGAGGGACGAGGCCGGAAGGTGTCGGGGGGGGGAGGGGGGGACAGGCGTTTTCGAAGAAAGGGAAGTAAAGGTTACAGGGAGGGCAGGGAGGGCAGCGATGGGAGCCAGGGCTGGCCCGAAGGATTCGCTCTGCGGCAGCGGCAGCCTGGCAGGCGAGGGGAGCGAGAGAGGGAGGAGGGGGGTGCCAGGGCAGAGCGCTGTAGGGCTTGGGGGCGGGGAGGGGATCCGCTAAGAAGCCTTTGCCAGCGGGGCCCAACCCATCCCAAGCAAGCGTGCTGGGAGGAGGAAGGCAAGGAGGTGGGCGGAGTGATGGAGAGGGAGGAACGAGGAGCTGGCTGTCGGGGGTGGGGCGACAGTGACATCACCTCGGAGCAGGCTCTTAAGCTGCCCCGAGCCGGGGGGAGAATTGTTCTGCCCGCTGGGGAGACAGCTAGGAGGTTGGAGCGGAGGATCAAGGAATCGGCCAGAAGCCGGAGCTGCCGGAGACAGACCAAGGTTGGGGCAGAGCCTTTAGGGCTCGGGCCAGAGGGCCCCCCCCTGCCCTGCTCTGCAGGGCCGCCCAGCCGCTGGTCCCCGCCGCGACCTTCTCGGCCGCCTACTTCTTCCAGAGTTTGTCGACAGCGGGCGTCCGCTCGCCCGCTTGCCCCTTGACATTCTATGCCTCCAGGAGTGCCCAGGTGAGCCTCGGGCCCCGCTAAGCCCCTGTAGGCGTCCCCCCTCTTGTAGCCGCCACCGTCACCGCCGTCGCAGCCGCCGGGCCGGGTCCCCAGCAGCTGTCCGCGTCTCCCCCCTCCAGCCCCGGACACACATGAGATTCTTCAGGCTGACTTTCAAGTGTTTTGTCGACTGCTTCTGAGTACCCCCCTCCCGCCCCCTCGAACCTCACAGCCCTTTATCCTCCCCCCAACCAGGGGAATCCCCATCCTTTCCCCTTCCCTCCCCCCTCCCCTTCCCTCTGAAAAAAAAATAGCTTTTTTCCCCTCCCCAAATTCTGGGGGCTGCTCCCTTGCTGCTCCCATAAATTCTGGGCTTGTGTCCCCCTCCCCCAATTGTTGGGGGCATCTGCTGTCGACAGTTGGCGAATTCTTTAGAGGGGATTTGGGGAGACCACCTTCTGCGTCGGAGCACCTGGGCCTCCCAGGGTGTCCGCCCCCTTTGAAGGGGACCGGAGTACCTAGACAGTGTCCTTTGTATTCTCTCTGTGATCCCCCCCCTCACCCCGATCCGAGGCCTCAGTCGTGTTTCCACACACACACACACACACACACACACACACACACACACACACACACACACACACACACTCAAACACACACCCCTAGCCCAGCCCTAGTAGCGAGGCCATGGCGAAGAAGACCACAGAGAACGGCATCTACAGCGTGTCCAGAGAAAAGAAGGGCTCTCTTCTGGACCCCGCGGACGGGGCCCCCCAAGTCAAGGCCGAGGTGGTGGCCGCCGGGCTGGGGGGCCCGGGCCCGGGCCTGGCCATCCCGCCCCGGGAGACATGGACCCGCCAGATGGACTTCATCATGTCTTGTGTGGGTTTCGCGGTGGGCCTTGGCAACGTCTGGCGTTTCCCGTACCTGTGCTACAAAAACGGCGGAGGTGAGTGTAGATGGCCTGCCTGCCGGCCTGTCTTCCCATGGATGCTCACCTCCTGGCCCACGTCAGGCCCCTCGGGCCTTCTCGACCCCCCCCCCTTCCTCGTCCTAGCCTCTTCTCCAGCCCCCTCTCATCCTCAGCCCCCCCTCTGATTCCTGCAACCTTGCTCCTGTTCTCTCAGACCCCATCCTCCCCATCTGCTTCCCCCTTTCCTCCATCCCACCCCCTAGCCTACTTTCCCATTGCGTTCCACACACACCCCCCTCCATTGCTCTGGTTATCCATCGGCCTTCCCATCTCCTCCCTTTGGTCCATCCCTTCCTAGTCAGAGATGCCAAAGTCCATGGACAGGGAGGACCCGGAAGAGGAGGGGAAAAAAGGTTGTGTGTAGGTGGGGTGGGGAAGGGATAGTAAGAAACACCAGCAAGAGGCTGGGGTCCTGAAGCCCCTTCCCCTCCCTGGGTCTGTAATGGCTCCCCAGGGGTGGGACTAGAGGCTGGGAGATATGCAGCCTGGGTGGGCCAAGGCCTGCCACTGTCATCACTTTGTCCACCCCAAAGGCTGAGGAGCTGAAAATGGGAAGGATATGGGAGGCTTTTGGTTAAGGGGTGGAATGGGGGGTTGGAGACCCGGGAATAGTTAAGGTGATTTTAAAGGCTAGGGAAGGCCTTTTCTGAAGCCTTTGGCCCCCTACCCAATCCATCTCAGGGGCTGACTGCCCCTTTAAGAGCATGGGCTCCTGGGAGAGCTCTAGGAGGTCTGACCCCCCCCCCAGAACCCAGTGCCATACTGTGGGTGCAACCCTTGCCACCCTGCACTGCACATTGGGCCACTCTCCCCAACTGCCTGTCACACTGGGTGCTTCTGCCCCCTTAGTTACACGGGCCTGGGTTTATGTACACATGTGTACGTGCTTACAAGTGTTCTACGCATGTGTTTATCGGTCATGCTTATCCACATGATGTTACATGTGAATATATGTACATGGTTGGACCATGCATCACAGGATACATGCATTCATATAATCATTGCCCATGTGCATACGTGACTGCCATGTTGCATGTATGTTCTTATATACTCAAGACTTATGGGAGTCATAATTTGCACCCTAAGGATGAGGAGGTGCCAGTAGGGAGGGTTGCTGTCTAGATTTTATTATTTTATTATTGAGGGGCTGTTTTGGAGAGTGAGCAGGATCATGGGGTTCAGGGTTCAGCATTACTAGGGGACTGAGAAGCCCAGAAGTCTGATGCCCAGCTCTGCTGTCTTGGTCGGGTTGGGGGGGGGGAGAGGACTGGGGAGGAGCAGGGCAAGAAGATAGTCCCAGACCCTCAGTATCTCAGTGGGTCATGAGTACTACTTCCTTTCCCTGCCCCCCTTCCCCCCAGCCACTGTCCTTGGCCTTGACCCTTTTGCTAGCCCAATCCTCAGTGCCTGAGGCCCTGGGGGAGGAGGGGGTGGGAAGGAGGGGGCAGGTTTCTATCTGCCTCCAGGGGAGAGAAAGCTGGGTAAAAAAAGCAGTCTCCAACCCAATACATCAGGGCTGGGACTAAGCTGCTTCTGGCTGGCTGTGTCTGCTGGGCTCAGCCTCCATCGCCTCCTTTAGCCCACTTGTTCCCATGTCTCTCTGTCTCTTGTCTTTTGGCCAGTCACCCATTATTCTCCCTGTCTTTCATCTCTGTCCCTCGCTCCCATCTTATTCTATCTCGTGCCCCTGTCCCAGGCTGGATCTGTTTTCCATTTCCTCCAGAAAGCTCTCCCTGGCCCTCCCATCTGTCCTTCTCTCCTGCCCAGGTTTTGGGACCCTGGGGCCCCTCCCTTGCTCACCAGCTGTCTCCACCCCCTGGCGTGGGTTTCTCTCACATGCATGCTCGTGGCTGTTGCGTCACATGACGCAGTGTGGCGCAGACACATGAGGCAGGCAGTCTGGGAGCGTGGTTCACAATGTCTTGTAGGGATTACGTGTGACCTGAAGCTTGAGGGGTCTGAGCTTTGTGTGGCCATCTGCCTCTGGCTCAGTCTTATTTCCTGCTATTCACACCCACCTGTGTGTCTGTGTCTGTCTGTGTCAGTGTGTCTGTGTTGCTAAGGAAGGCTCACTGGGGACAGCATCATGACTGTCTCTTCCCTCCATCCAGCCTACCCCCCCCCAAGAGCTGCCCCCTCTTTTCCCCAGAACTTGTCCCAACCTGCCTGGGGTGGAGAGGGTGAGGCCCCAGTAGGGGGTCTGGGCAATGAGAGGGAAGACCCATCCCCTCCTGAGCCGACCTATAGAGTCTGATGGCACCTCCTTCCCCTCTCTTCCCCACCCCCACCACCATCTGCCACTGACAAAAGTTATGCGCACACCCCCCCCCCTCCATATTTTCAGCTCCCCAGCCCCTGGAGTGAATAAGGCAGAGACTGCTAGAGCCTGCTAGGGCAGGACCCAGCCGCCTTGTACCCTGGGGCCTCAGGACTCACTGCAGGTGGGAGGAGGGGCTTGCAAGTATCCTCACCATCCCCTTCATCTCCCCTGTTTGGCTACAAGAGCCAGAGGGAAGCAATCTGATACTTGGGGGGGAGCCTTATTTTGAAAGAAGAGCCTTCAAAATAAGTCAGAAGACCTAGTTTTTGAATCCTAATTCTGTCATGGCTCTCCTAGGTCGCCTTGGTTAAGTCAATTCTCCTCTGGGCCTCAGTTTCCTTATCTAAAATGAGGGGATTGGATTAGAGGATTTCTCCATTAGAGGATCTTTTAAGGTCCTTTGCTTTGAAGGTGTGACTCCTCAAGAGTAGTGACAATGGAAAGTTCCGTATTTGATAGCATTCTTGAGTTGAAGTCAGAAGACTTGAGTTTGAATTCTGCCTCAACACTTCTTAGCTATGTGGCTTCCTTTTTTGTTAACCAGCTTCTGTAAGACCTAGAAGCCTGTACCTGGCACGAGAGTGCCAGGGTAAGTGCCCAGGATAGACGTGCTTTTCCCTGAATGATGTCTTTGTCTCTTGATAAATAAATTTTCAAATTATTTCACCTTCTCTTAAGTTTTTTTTTAAAAGGAGAAAAGCAGTTTCATCGAACATAGATCAACCAATTATGACAATGAATTGCAGTATTCCACACTCATAGATTTCTCCCCCCACACACCTTGAAGGGGGGGGTGCAAATCAGTACATTCCATTTTTAATTCAGGACAAAGTTGGCCATGATGGTTACTCAGTGTTCAGTTAAATCCTGTACCTATCTGTCTCTTTGTCTACCTCTTGTCCCATCTTAACTCCTGACTGGGAGATCTGGGTCCAGGCTGTATTTTCTCATTGCCTAGTGACATTGGCCAACCAGTCAGTCAGTCACATCTGATTGTCTGTGGAGACAGCCTGCTTTCTTGGAGCTTGCAAGCTCTCCACTTGAGAACAAGGACAGGATGTGACAGGCCAGCCACACCTCCCAATAAACAGCCTGCCCAGGAGAAGACTGGAGGAAGCCATGGCATTGGTCGTCCAAGTGGGCAGGGTAGCCTTCCTAGAGGTGGGGCCCCTTGAAAACAAGGTTGAAAATTAAGACTGGCAAGCTAGGGGAAGTGGCCCATGAGCTGAGCCCAGTGAGGATGGGGAGATATGGCCTAGTAACCGAGAGATACATAGGACTTTCTGGACAGCCCTCAACCTGGCCAATTCCTTCCTCCCCATTTGACCTCATGGGGTAAGACAAGACCTCTCACATGTGATCCTTATGGCTACCCTGGCAAGGATTTTATAAATAGGGAACTTTAGAGCTCAGAGGGGTTAAGTGATTTGCCCACAGTTAATTCTGCTAGCTTCAGTGGGGAATTCAAACCCAGGTCTCCTCTGGGAAGAGATTGTCTTCTGAAATGGTAATTGAATGTGGGATGTGACCTGGATGTGATTGGATTGTGAACCAGATTGCTTTTCCCCCACAGGAGTATTCCTTATCCCCTATCTTCTGATTGCTGTTCTGGGAGGTATCCCCATCTTCTTCCTGGAGATCTCGCTGGGCCAGTTTATGAAAGCTGGCAGCATCAATGCTTGGAACATCTGCCCCCTCTTCAAAGGTTGGGACCTTTGAGCAGCTTTCCTGCCTCTTCCTCCCCCCCCTCCATAGGGCAGAGAAAGGAGGCCAGGGTCACCTTAGCTGTGGCTCTGCTGAGGAAGGTTCTGGCTGGCTGGGAGGGGTGGACTGAGCCCCTTGTAGAGAACTTCACTTCCTGGGCTAGGCAGGTTGGGTGGGCTAGGGCATACTAGGCCCTGATCATTTTCCTCTATCCCCAGGCCTAGGTTTTGCCTCCATGGTGATTGTCTTCTATTGCAACACTTACTACATTATGGTGCTGGCCTGGGGTTTCTACTACCTGGTGAAGTCCTTCACGGCCTCACTGCCCTGGGCCACCTGTGGGCATGACTGGAACACCCCAGAGTGTGTGGAGATCTTCCGCCAGGAGGACTGTGCCAATGCCAGCGTGGCCAACCTCACCTGTGACCAACTCTCAGATCAGCGCTCCCCTGTCATTGACTTCTGGGAGTGAGTCCACCCTTCTATCTCAACCCCTCTCCCCCCCTCCCCCAGCTTGCATGGTTTGGCCCTGTGTGTGCCAACCCCCACCCTCTAATCCACCTCTAGTTTAGGCACCCCTTTCTTCCTGCCCCAAGGCACAAACCCTTCATTCTCTTGACATCTCCCCTTCCAGAAAGAAAGTCCTTCGCCTGTCCCCAGGTCTCGAGGTTCCTGGGGATCTCAACTGGGAGGTGACCCTCTGCCTTCTAGCCTGTTGGGTTTTGGTCTACTTCTGTGTCTGGAAGGGAGTCAAGTCGTCTGGAAAGGTAACCTAACTGCTCATCCCCAGCTGATGAGGCCTGCCTTCTTAACCTCCAGGGCTCACCCCATCCTGCCCCATCCCTGCTTCTGAGTGCCCTCTAATTCAGCTCTTCTGCAAACTGCAGTGCCTCAGACTCCAGCCCTCTGCAGATAAAATTTTGACATCTGGGAAAAGGCCATAGGTCTCACAGGGAAATGCTGTCCCTTGTAGTTTCACAGCCAACCCATCGCACACTCCTATACACACAGAGGCAGACAATCCCCACTCATCCTCAGCCTTGAGCCCCTTCACTCCCAGACTCTGAGGCTCATGGGCTGGGATACGGATGCTGTTTCCACAGCAACAGCCTAACAATGTTCCATCCTGGCCCCTTTCCCAGTCCCAGCCCTGTTGGGGGAGGGGAGAGAAGAGCAAAGCCCTTATCCCCTGCTGGTCTGACTCTTCTCTTCCCCCCCCCCAACTGCCCATTTGGCCAGGGGTCAGGGGGACACTGGCATTCCCTCTGCCCTGGATTCTCCAGAATCCAGTATGGAGTTGGAGGAAGAGGGGTGAAGGAGATCCTAACTGCCTTCTTCCTCTCTACTCCTCCCCTCCCTGCTCCTGACCTGACCCCATTGTCAGGGATGGTGGAAGGGGGTGGGCAAAGAGGGGGATTGGGGATGGTTAGTCCTTGGGGCCTCCTAGGCCTCTAGTATTCAGACAATGAAAGAGAGAGGCAGGAGGAGTGGGGGAAGGGGGGATTTGGAAGCACAGGAAGATGAGAGAACAGGTGAACAATAAAGGCCTGGGGCCTCAGAGGAAAGTTTGCATGTGCCAGACTCCAAAGGTCCCTCCCTATTCTGATCCAAGCATCCCCACCCCTATAGCCTGGGCAGCTGCTGGGGGATGGGGGAGGGTTGGAGGGAGGATTAGAAGACCCAAGGCCTTGAGCAGAGCTTCCAGTGGGGCTGAAGAGAGAAGCAGGTCCTAAGAGGAAACCCAGGGAAGGAGGGGGCTGGGCTAAGCTGGGAGGCCTAGCTGGAGGAGGGAGATCTTGGAGCTTGCTGGGCCTTGGGCCTCTAACTGGGCCTTGGTACTCATCTTGATGCAGATTGTTTATTTCACTGCTACATTCCCGTATGTTGTCCTCCTTGTCCTGCTGGTGAGGGGGGTCATGCTGCCAGGAGCATTGGATGGCATCATCTATTATCTCAAGCCTGACTGGTCAAAGCTGGGATCTCCACAGGTGAGCTGCTTCTTCCCCACCCCCAATCTCTAATCTTCCATCCAGAAGTGGGAATTCTGAGTTCAGATAACAGCAGTCGCTGCCACAAATAAGGCTCTTCCCAGCCTTGATGAAAATGGCCCACTGAGGCAGACCAGGAAACTCATTCACTTCTGGTCTTAATTGCCTGGGGCACTGAGAAATTAAGGTACCTCACCAGAGTCACATAGCAGGACTTGAACTTGAACCCAGGTCTTTATTTTGAGGCCAATAGAATGGCCTCTAGGATATATCTAGGATAGAACCTCGAGCACTTTGCCTCTAAGGCTTGGCATCTTCTCTTCCCTGCTCCATTTACAAAGGAGGAAACAGGGCAGGAAGTATTTGGGTTTTGTGTTCTCAGCATTGAGAGAGGGCAGAAGTCCTATCCTCTCCCAATTCATCTCTGGGCTGTATTATGCCAACATCTGCCTGGCCACTCAAAGCCAGGCAGTGGTTCCTGCTGGGGCTCCTAGGTCCCCTGTCTTGGGCCTCCTGACCTCTTGCTCAATTGTACATTCTCTCCTCCCTGCCCCCACCCCCACCCCCACCCCAGGTGTGGATTGATGCTGGTACACAGATCTTCTTTTCCTATGCCATCGGCCTGGGGGCACTCACAGCTCTGGGCAGCTACAATCGTTTTAACAACAACTGCTACAAGTAAGGAACTGCCCCCTCCCCAGGATGCATCTTCCCCCCCCCCAACAGTGGCACCCACTAATTCTCTTCTCTGTCCCAGGGACGCCATCATACTCGCACTCATCAACAGTGGTACCAGCTTCTTTGCCGGTTTTGTGGTGTTCTCCATCCTAGGCTTCATGGCCATGGAACAGGGTGTGCACATCTCCAAGGTGGCTGAGTCAGGTGGGTGAGGGGCTGCCTGCTTGGGCAGGGATGGGCAGGTAGAGATCATTTAACCCAGTCCCCTTTGATACAGGAGACCCACCCACATGGGCAAAAACTAGTTGCCTAGAAAAGTTGAAGACATGCCCCAAGGTCACATAGTTGGTGAATGGTAAAGCCAGCATCTGAACACACAACATACATACACATAGGCACACAGACACACACTTATGGGAGGCCCTATAGTGCAAAGGAAAGGATATTGGTATTGGGTTAGGAGTCAGAAGTTCCATTCAAAGCCCTATTAGCTTGGCTCCTGTGTGACCCTGTGGTACATATTAGTGCTATTTGCCCCACATCAAGTTAGTGGGCTTCAGTATACTCCTGTAAAGTTCATAGGGGGTGGCAGAGGAGTTTGGCCTAAGCATCCTCCAGCTCAAATCTGGGAGCCAGAGACTGGGAGGTAACAGGAACTGACGTTTCTAGCACACGGCAGGTTTACAAAGTGCTTTCAGCCCATTTTTCTCATTGGACCATCACCAACTGCGGGAGGGTACAGCTCTCCTGGTATTATCCTTGTAGGAAAGGAAACTGAGCCAGCCTAGAGTGGTCATGTGCCCAGAATTGTACAGCTAGTAGGAATTAGAACTCAGGGTTCTCTGACACCAAGTGCACGTTTTGCACTCCACCGAGCTGCCTAATATTTCAACATGAGGGCAGTGGGGTGTCCTGCAACAAACAGCTGTCCCGGCAGTTGGGTGAAAGCCCCATAGGCCTGAGTCAAGCAGGGGTGAGTACTGAGCTCCTGGCCCAGGACAGAAGGGAGCCATGAGGTAGCTCTGATCTCCTTCCGTGAACTGGAGGAAGCTAAGAGGGAAAAAAAATTTCACTGTGGGTCAAGAAAGGAGGGGACTTGTTCTCCGTTTTCCCCCAAGCTCTGGCAGCCAGTTTCTAGGAGTACTATTTGTGCTATGGGAAGGCCAGAGAGGGTATTCTGGGCCAGTGTAGTTTCTTCTGCTTTGGCCCCTGCTGTGCTGTGCTGCCCCAAGGGTTAATGGGTGACCTCTCTGGTTTCAGCAGCTGCTGCAGACCAGCTGCCCCTCCCTGGTTAGAGATCAGATGTCAGGCTGGAGGAGGGGAATGGAAGGAAGGCACAGTCATCAGATTTTGATTGGGGGGCAGGGGGAGTTGGAAGGAGGGTCATGGGTATGGGGACCTTAGCTAGGAGCTAAGGCCTCTTGGGTCCTTGGGTAAACAAGACAGGCCAAGGTAATGTACTGCTCAGAGGGGGATGCCCACCATGAGACAGAAAACATGGAGCTCAAAGAGCTAAGAGTCTCCAATGGGTGCAGTGGGTGCATGGACATGCTGTGGGGAGGGCTGCTGAACAAGCCTGTATCTCTTCTCTGCCATCCAACAGGACCAGGGTTGGCCTTCATTGCCTATCCCCGGGCCGTCACCCTGATGCCCATGGCCCCGCTCTGGGCTGCCCTCTTCTTTTTCATGTTACTGATGCTTGGCCTGGATAGCCAGGTGGGTCCTGGGCTGGGAGGGAGGTTTCTGGGAGGGCCTAAACCAGCCCCTGAAGGCGAAGGGGAGGCAGCCTCCAGTTCTAAGCTATCTTGTCTCTCCCCCCCACCCCCCTCCTCGGTGCTGTTGGGCTGCAGTTCGTAGGGGTAGAAGGATTCATCACTGGCATCCTGGATCTCCTCCCGGCCTCCTACTATTTTCGTTTCCAGAGGGAGATCTCTGTAGCTCTGTGCTGCGTAATCTGCTTCATCATTGACCTCTCCATGGTTACTGAAGTAAGTTGGAAAGCAAGGGGAGGGAGAAGGAAGAGAGGACACAGGCAAGATCTTGAACTTCTCATCTGACCTTGACTTCTGTTCCCCTCACTGCAGGGCGGCATGTACGTCTTCCAGCTGTTTGACTACTATTCAGCCAGCGGTGTGACTTTGCTGTGGCAGGCTTTCTGGGAGTGTGCAGTGGTTGCCTGGGTTTATGGTAAATGGAAGCATAGGGAGACACGATCTGTTTGGGGTGAGGAAGGTGGGACATTGTATTTGTGGGCTAGATTGGCATAGATCAGCTCTTTCTCTCCCCTTCCCACCCCCCAAACCCATCCTGTCCATTAGGTGCTGACCGGTTCATGGATGATGTTGCCTGTATGATCGGCTACCGGCCTTACCCTTGGATGAAATGGTGCTGGTCCTTCTTCACCCCACTGGTCTGCATGGTAACAGCTAGGGAGGGGGATGTTTGGGATGTAACTTGGAGGATCACTAAAGATGGGAGGGAGGCTGGCTGGGGGAGGGGTGCAGCCAGTGACTGATGGATGGGTGGCCACCCACCAGTAACAAGTATGACTGCTAGCCTTCTTAATTCCTTTCAGGGCATCTTCACCTTCAACGTGGCGTATTACAAGCCACTTGTATACAACAACACCTATGTGTACCCGTGGTGGGGCGAAGCAGTGGGCTGGTGCTTCGCCTTTTCCTCCATGCTGTGTGTGCCACTTTACCTACTCTATCACCTCCTCGGGGCCAAGGGGACATTCATTGAGGTCAGTCTCCCCAATCTGCCTTGGCTTTACTGTCTGTCTGCCTTATAATGCATCTACAATCATCACAACAACCCTTGGCCTAAAGTCCATCTATTGTCTCTTTGAGCCTTGGGATTCTTTTTTTTCCTTAAAACAGATGAGGAAACTGAGACCCAATAGTTTAAGTGACAGGCCTATGGTCACAGTTCCAGGCCAAGCTGCCTTCTGGAGTGCTTGGCCTATTTTAAAACCCAGATGCCCGGGGGGGGGGTTACTGCTCCCCAGATCAGTTCCCTGGTCTTACCCAAACACCAAGGGGCATTGCTCAAGTGTGCTGAGCCAAAGTAATGGCACAGACACCCAGGCTAGACCTTGGAAAAAGGAATTGGCCCATGTTGGGGGAGATAAATCTCCAGGAAGAATCTGGGGAGTTTGCACTAACATTAACTCACTGGAAGTCTGAGAGGCTGTAGATAGCCCTGTGCTGTAGGGAGTGCTGAAACTAAATCTTATTCTGGGTCTCACTGGGTTGAGCAAGTGGGTGGGCCCATGAGAAGCTATCAGGGGGCAAGGGACCTTCTGGGAAATTGGTAAGGGAAGGAGGATTCGAGGCCAGGACCCTATTGGGAGGAACTAACCCTCCTTTTCCCCCCCCCCCCAACTCAGCGTTGGCGTGACCTGACCCAGCCAGTGTGGGGTCTCCATCACTTGGAGTACAAGGCTCAGGACTCTGATGTCAGGGGCCTGACCACCCTGACTCCAGTGTCTGAGAGCAGCAAGGTCATCGTGGTGGAGAGCGTCATGTGACCTGCCCTTGAGGGGGTGGGGCAGGAAGGGGGCACCTGCCTCTACCCCAGTGCCCAAAGCCAATGGGGAGACAGCCACGGCTCTCCCTCTCCTTTGCCTACTCCCCCCCCACCAGCCTCCCTTCTTGTAGCCATAGTAAACCCCCCTCTCACTCCTTTCAACCCCCCTCACTGAGACCCTGGGGAGGGGGGAGCCTTTTATGTATGATATTGATAGAGGGGACCCGGGTCAGGCTGGGGCCACAGTGTATGAGTGCTTGAGTTAAACTGGTTTTCTCTTTCTTTTTTAAAATAAAAACCAAAAAAAAAATAAAATTTTAAAAACACCCACCAAAATCTAGACCCCACCCCCCAACCCCCACCCATGGCACCGAGTCTAGTTAGTGGGTTTTTCTCACTTAATTTGCCATCCCACCCCCCCACCCCCCCAGCTGGGGAGAAAGTTGACCTCCAGAGGAGCAAACACCTTTTGGGATTGGGACTCCCTTGACCCCCTGGGCCTACAATTGGGTCCCCTCCATCCTACATGGAAGCCAGCTGCAGCTGTGTGTATCTGTTGTATCTGTGTGTGTTGTGGTGTGTGTCTGTGTGGTGTGTTGTGTGTATAGCAATTCAGCTGGAATAAATAATGAGTCTCTTTCCTCCTCCCAACCCCTCCCAGAGCTTTGTTGGCTAGGTGTCTTCTGGCCCAGATCCTCAAGACCAATTTCCTGACAACCCCCAAGATCAAGGTTTGTGTGGGTGGGTGGGTGGTGTTTTGCGTGCGCATGTATGTGTACATATATACAGTGGCTATATATATATATACAGTATATAGATATATATAATACATATATATATACAGTATAGATATATATGGAATTGAGAATACCAGGTGTAAATTATGCCTGAGGGCAAAGACTTGTATTTTGCACATTTTGTAAAAACTAAGGAGTGATTTCTGCCTGTATATTTCTAAAAAGAGAAACAACCCTCCACCCCCAACCCCAAGAGAGCCTGATAGAGATCTAATTTTGTTAGAAAAAAAAAAGCTGAAAAAAAGCCTCATCCTGGTTTTTTGTCACAGGTTTTTTGGTCTTCAGGTCTTGTTCACTACCAAGAGTGGTGAGGGGAGTTCAGGTCTGGGAGGCAATATTGCCTGCCTTGTGGCATGGTGCCCAGTATTCTATGTAGGTTGAGGCCTGGCCTTTTCGGAGGGAGGGAAGGGGCGTCTCCCAAAACACCAGCCTGGCACAGCCCAAGGTGCCACTGTTCACACCCCCACCCCAGCCCCAGCCCCTTCCCTTAATGCCATCCCAGGAAGGGAAGGGTAATAGATCTGGGGAAGGAAAGGGGCACTGGAGGGTACCTCAGAATCCCTGCCCATGTCTCCCCCCCACCCTCCATGTCTGATGCACTTTGCATATCTCAGTCTTCCACATAGAAGCTTTAATCTGCCTTGTGTCAAAAAGCAAAAACCCCGACAGACAGCCAAAATGGGGCCCCACAAAGCCCAGGCCCACTCTAGGTCTTGGGGGGGCCCTGGGATGTTGTGACTGCTAAAAAAAAAAGCCACCTGCAAACATAGCAATAAAGACATGTCATTTTTCAAATTGTTGCCGTCTTTCCTTTAGGGGACAGGCCCCCCAAAATCCATTCCCATCCATGATGCTATGCCACTTCTCTACATCATGTGACAAGTCCAATGGCCCCAATTCACAACAAAATTTCTCTTTTCTCATACTTTTACCTTTTCCAATATCCCTTTCCCAGATTTCACATGGGCAGAATCTCAATCTCTTAGCATTCAAGTTCCTCAAAACTGGATCTTAGGATCACTTTTCCAGGTTTAATGGATGGCCTTTCTTGGGATTTCTCTCCCTACCAGTGCTTGCTCAGAATCTCTTTCCTGGGGGCACTTAAAGCCCAAGGTCTACTCCACAGACACAGAAAAATGATTCACTGGTTTTCCTTTATCTTCAACCTCTGAGAAGCTCTGGCTTTGAAGGCCACAGGCATGCTCCTCAGCAGTTTCATCCCGCCTCAAATTTTTCTTTCTCCCACATTTTCTTCAAGTTGACTCTCTGGATCCCTAGCACTTAAGTACTCTTATTGAAACTTAAAAGCTTAAGTTGAATTGAAACAATTTCTATGAAATCTTTGGACATGACAGAATGTAGGCAGAATGGTGGCTTCTCCCATCCCCTTTGCTTCCTTGTTTTTCCCTTCTACCAAGTCTCACTGGGCAAGTTTCTGAGGCTCACCTTTGTAAGTGGGCCTTTTTCAAAGGCCATGGGCATCATGGCCAGATGGTCAAACAAACCCTAGTTTGGGAAATGCTGCTTGTTGGCATACTTTTCCTGATGTCTATGGGATTGGGGGTGGGGGGGAGTGGCCATTTTCCCTCCATTAGTTTGACTCCTTGAGGAAGGTCATTTCCTTGACCTTACTTTCATATAGGATTTATCACCTGATTCTTTCCTCATTCTCAACAGGAGAAATCATTAAATGCTATTGGGATTGGGCTCCCAAGAAAACTTCTCTCAAATTGACCAGCCACCAATCTTTGGAGAGAAGTCACTCTGCCACAAACTTCCAGAACAAAGACAAATGTCTTTGGCATTTCAGATTCTCTTTGGTCCTTCAGGGTCCTGAAGCTGGACATCAAATGTCCTTTTGAAATTATACCCTCAACAGGGGCTTATTTCTGGGACCTCTTTCATTATCTTTTCTTTCATTATCTTCCCCATTCCTACTTAAGCCCAGACTTGGCCTCTCCTTATCTTAGCATCTCAGTTTTTAGTGTTTTCCCAAAAGACAATCATCTTGTGCCCCACCCCCCCACCTGTTGGGGAATCACAAAACAAAGTGACAATCACTGCCCAGGTAGGGCAAGCCCTGAAGAGAGCTTTCTGAAGTCACTAGTTGTGGAGATTTGGAAACCCTAAGGATCGGGCACTCTTCAATTGGGGGTGGCAAAAGGGCCCATGCCCTTTTGGGCTGATGCCAAAGAAATCTTCCTTATTGTAAGCAATCAAAGACATGCCAAGCCTATTACTCACTGCTCTACGGGAGAAAACAAAAAAAAACTAACCTGTTTAAGGGAAGTTCAACTGGGCTTTGTCTTTAGCCCCTACCCCTGGGACCACTGTTCCCAGAGGAAGCTTAAAAGGAAGGGTGAATCCAAGTAGCATCAGCTCTCTGCTGACCTCAGGCCCCTTTCATGTCCTTTAGAGGATTCTAAAGGACCCAAGAGCTTTCAGGCTCCAAAGGGTATTTCCCACACAAGGTACATGTACCTTCTAGGGACAGATGAACAAGTGGAAAAAGAAACCCAGAAAGTTTTGGAACATGCCAGCCACATCCACACATCCACTAGCTTTGATTAACAAATTTTATTTCTCCAAGAGAAGCTGGGAACTAGAACACAATATTCCTCATCTCAAGAAAAAAGCAGAGGGCTCTTCAAACAGCCACCACCCCAAAGAACTCAACCAAATCCCTTTTGTTTTTTGGAAGAGATGAGGGGTAGGGAGAGCAAGGGGGACTAAAGAGAAAGGGCTCTGCCCCCACCTCCAATCGCTGGGGTTGCCCTCTAGATAAGGCAAGCATGAGGAAGTTCAGTGGTCAAAGTTGGTCAAAGTTTATTTACAAGCTGAGCAAAAGTGAAAAAGCAGCTGTGTATATGTGGGGTATATGGAGCTTGGGGTACATGGAGGGCAGGGAGCATTGCTTGAGGTTCCCAGCTTTCCAACGTGACCCAGCTGCTTGTGATGGGGAGGAATGGAAGGAGGAAGAGCCAATCCCTCACTCCTCTTTCTTGTCTGTCGGCCCATCCACTGCAGCCTGGAGAGGGAAAGAAACCAGAGGAGCAGGATGGCATAAGTGGTCCCAATTCCCTCTTGGCAATGTAGTGTGCACCCTGTGCCTCTGGCCTACCCCTCTCCTCTTGCCCACTTCCTGGTTTTGCCCCCTTCCCACCTAGGAAGTATCCAGGCTGGGGATGGTAGGAATGTCAAATCCAAGTTAAACTTTTTAAAAAGGGGAGGCTCTCCCCATCATCCCTGGCAGCAGCTCTGAGTCTTGGAGCCCGTGGCTGTAATGTGGCTGCCAGGACCCAGCCTGGTGACTGAGAGAGGGATTGAGTGAAGCCTGGGAAGACAGCCGAGCGGACGCTTCAGGAGGGGTTGGGAGGCTGGGCCCTCGCCAGGGTGGGGCCAGTTGGAAGGGACCAGACTCTCCTGTTTACCTTCCCAGCTCTACCACCTACAGCCCCACCAGCCCCTGCACCCCCTGGGCTAAGGCCCCACCCCAGCCAAGCTGCTAGCCCAGAATGTCTAACTGCTTTTGTGACTCCAGCAACAGCTAAGGAGGAGCAGCAGAGTAAATGCTCCCTCCCTCCACCTCCCATCCAGCTGGGCTATGCCATCCCAGCTGTGGCAGGAGCCCACAGGGTCAAAGAGGGCAATGACAGGAAAGCAATAAACAACCTTGAAGGGCTGAAACAACCTTCGTTACTCTGGGCCTCAAGCTCTGGCATGCAGCATGGACAGCAGCTGCCAGGGCCAGCACCTAAGGACCTTTATGGCCAACCATCATATGGCTCCCAACCCCCCTGCAGGGCAGGACTGGTTGTGATTGCCCAGAATAGCTGCTGGGGGCCTATAAATAACTCCCCACCCCAACCTGAGACAAGATCACTTGGGCTTCCAGTCTGCCCTTGTGGTTTTGGAGCTATTTTGGGGTAAGTATGGGGGTATGTGGGAAAGCTGGCCCACACCCTAACCTGTCATGTCCATCTCTGACTCAATAGAGGGCAACGGGCTGCCATCACTTCAGCAGGCCTTCTGGGCCCAGATGTGTGGCCAGGGAAAGGCACACTGCTGGCTTTTTTCCCCTCTGCTACGTCCAAGGGGAAGGGCACACACAGATTGGTGGTTTCTCTATCTCCCCTAATACCACCAGGTCGAAGCACCTCAGAATGCGGAGCCACATCTCTGCCTCATTTCCTCAATTCTGTCCCACTACTTGGTAGGGACACTTTACAATGAAAGATAGGAGGGCCCGAGAGAGATGTAGAGACAGAAGAAGTCGAAGAGATACTGAGGACCATCCAGACGGCTTCCAGCATCATTCCCACACCCAAGGAGCCCGAGAGCATGCCCGCCATCTGGCATCCCTTGGCAGGGGGAGGGGCTGGGGCTATGTGGGCCCCCTCCTGCTCCTCAGATATTTTAAGAGGTCCGGGGTCAAACTGGTTTCCTTAAATGCTCTCAGTGTCCCAGGGGATCCTGGACACTGCCATCCTGGCACCAATCCTACACATACCTGGAGGCGAGAATGCTCCTCCAGCAGACGGTCATACTCCTTGGTCAGCCCTTCCGACTGCTTGCGCATGGCCAGAGCCTCATGTTCTGCTCTCTCCAGGTCTTGGGAGAGGAGACAGGACACAAATTAGGGTGGGAGGCATGGCTTGTGGTCTGCATGCCACAGTCCATTTTTCAGGGTCTTTATGGCCAAGGACAGGAGAGGTTGGGAAGAGTCACTGTCTCTAAAAGAAGCTTACGCATGCTTTGGAAATGTCTCTGCCCTCTTCCTCCTCGTGTCCACATACAGTCTTAGAGGCTAGAGGACTATGGTAAGGAAGAAAGGAGAGGTGTGCCACAGAAAGGCATCCCAATACCACAAAGGGACGTTGTGAGAAAGCCAGGCCACACCAACCAACATATCTGGGTGATATGTGCATCTACAATTTGCTGCCAAGATATGCTGGCAACAATGAATAGCTCAAAATCCACCAGGCCTGGAGGGTAGTGGGGGGCGGGGGAGGGAAGGGGAGCAGAGTTTGGGCAAGGAAACATCACCCCCCATTTGCTAAGACTGAGCTAAGCTGCTCAGTCTCTATAACCAGAGGTCTTTGGAGAAACAGGGAGCAGTCCAAAGCCTGGAGTGGTGTTAGAGAGAACAGATGGGAACACAGGGATGAAATGATCATGGCCGATCTGGATTTATGAGAAACTCAACTGTCCACTCCCTTCCTGAACTTTTCTCTTTGTGGCCTTTGAACCTTCTTTCTACCATCACCACTCCACCTCCAATACCCCTTTCTGTTCTCAGCTCAAAGGTATCTCTGGGCTCCCCACACCTCCCACTTGGCATAACTACTCTACATTGTGTGCTGCTGCAAAACACTATCCGGCTTTCTGTGCCCACTAGCACTGCCAGCTCCTGACCTCTGCTTGGCATTGCTGGGCCCCATGATAGCTTGGCATACACATGTGTGAATGGGGGGGGGCTGGCAGGGAGGAGCAGAAGGGAGAAACTCTGGGTTTTTCTTCCCCAGCTTCCCAGAACAGGAGGCAGCCCAGAGGTGCTCTTGTCAAGGGCCCAGTCCTTACTTCGCTTGCTGATGGCCAGCTCCTCCGTGAGTTTCTTGAGCTCAGCCTTCAGGTTTTTGTTCTCCACTAGCACATCATCGTTCAGGTCCAATTTACCACCATCGATGCCAGCTTCCTAGGAAAAGCACCAAAGAGACCCAGATTACCCAACTCTCTGGGGACCCAGACCCACCCTTCACCTCTGAAAGAGTTGCCATGTTAGGGAATAAGGGAGGAAAGCCTGTCAGTCTAGGCCTAAGACCCTGCCCCTCTGAGTGGGCCAAAAGGAAGTCTTTTTTTTTTTTTTAATTTTTAGGCAATTGGGGTTAAATGACTTGCCAGGGGTCACACAGCTCATAAGTGCCAAGTGTTTGGTCTGAGGCCAGATTTGAACTCAGGTCCTGCTGACTTCAGGGCCTGTGCTCTTTCCACTGCGCCACCTAGCTGCCCCTGCACTAAAGTCTTTATCAAAAGCCAGTCTTCTGGGTGGTAGGGAAGGTAGAGGAAGGCCATTTACTCACTTACAACCCCCATATCCAGTCTGTTGCCAAGGCATGTTGATTCTACCTTTCCAATAGCTTTCATGTACACCCCTGACACTGCCCCCACTCTGGTGCAGGCCCTTATCTCCTCATGCCTCGACTACTGCAACAGCCACTCCAATCCATCCTCCACTGAACTGTCAAATTGCTCTTTATGAAGCATAGGTCTGACCATGGCACACATCACCCCTTCCTGTTCAGTCAGCTCCACTGGCTTCCTATCATCTTCAGGATCAAATAGAAAATCCTGTTTGACATTCAAAGCCTTTCCTAACCTGCTCCCTCACCTTTCCAGTCCTCTTCCACTACTCACTCCCTTCTACTCTGCAATCTAGTGACACTGGCCTCCTTGCTGCTTCTCCCAACTCTGGGTATTTTCGCTGTCTGTCTCCCATGCCTGGAATGTTCCCCCTCCTCATCTCCCCGCACTTTGGCTTCCCACCTTCTACTGGAAGCCTTTCCCCATCTCCCTTCATGCTACTGCCTTCCAGCAGTCAGTCAATAAACATTTAGTAAGTGCCTGTTACATACCAGAAAGTATGCTAAGTGCTGGGGATACAAAGGGAGGCAAAAGATAATCCCTGTCTACAAGGACTGTCTCCAATTTATCAAGCACTTAAGGACCAGACTGGAACCTTCCCTCCATTTCTAGACTTTCCCTTACCAATAAATGGGCCCAGCAGGTTGCCCAATTCTAGCTAATCTCCTTGGCCTGGTCTTGCCGGTGTCCCTTATAATCACACCATTTTATTCCTCCCTGCCTCTGACTGTGCACTTCAGCCGAGATACCAGTGTGACATTGGCCAACATGACAAAAGAGGAAAATGATAAATGTTGGAGAAGATGTGGGAAAATTGGAACATTAATGCACTGTTGGTGGAGTTGTGAACTGATCCAACCATTTTGGAGAACAATTTGGAACTATGCCCAAAGGGCTATAAAAATGTACATACCCTCTTCTAGGGCTTATTCCCAGAGAGATCATACAAATGGGAAAAGGACCCACATGTACAAAAATATCCATAGCAGCTCCTTTTGTGGTGGCAAAGAATTGGAAATTGAGAGGATGCCCATCCATTGGGGAATGGCTGAGCAAGTTGTGGTATATGAATGTAGTGAAATACTATTGTGCTATAAGAAATGATGAACAGGCTGACTTCAGAAAAACCTGGAAAGACCTATATGGTCTGATGCTGAGTGAAGTGAGCAGAACCAAGAGGACTTTGTAAACAATAACAGCCACGTTGTGTGATGACTAATATTGATAAACTTAACCTTCTCAGACATCTCCAGAGGCCTCATGATGGAAAATGCTATCCACATCAAAAGAAAGAACTATGGAAGTCAAATTGCTATCACTTATGTTTACCTTTTGTTGAGTTTTGTTTCCTCTTTCTAATGGTTCTTCCTATTGGTTTTAATTTTTACTTACAACTTCACTAATGTGAAAATATGTTTAATAGGCATGTAAATGTATAGCCTATATGAGATTGTGTGCCATCTTGGGGAGGGTGGGGGGGAGGAAGGAGGAGAAAAATTTTAAGCTCAAAAGCATATGGAAGTGATTGTTGATAAATCAAAATAAATTAATAAAATAAATTAAAAAAAAAAAAAGATAACACTGTGAGCAACATCCATTTAGCCCCTCAACCAACAAAGTCTTCCCAAGTCTGACCCAAGGCAACTCTGGTCACTAACTCCTCCCTAACTTAGCAGTTAGATACTTCCAAAACATTGGCGATCTGACATTCTAGGGATGAAAGAAAGAAAAGGGGAAGCCCAGATCCTAGCAGGAATATCTCTTAAAGCCAAAGATGGTGCCTGTTCCCACCTGCCCATCTAGCTAGAATGGATTCCCCTAAATGACAGCCCTTTGGCTCCGATTTCTAGTCTAAGTACCTCATAATTCCTAGTAAAAGGCTTCACCCACAGGTACCACCCTAGCCAGGCTATTGGCTCACTGGTTCACCTCAGAAAAAACCCAGGGGTGTGCTGGAGCCAGCTCAAACTGGCTATCAAACACCAATTGACAAATCAGGCCTTGATTTATCGCTCTGTTGACTGTCTAACACAGGGGTGGGTAAACGACAGTTCCACTGACCCATGATTTTGTGCAGCCTGTTTTTGTACTGCCCCTGCTTGAGCTAAAAATGATTTTTACATCTTTTAAAATAAAACTTAATTTTATTTAAAAATGTAAAAGCCATTCCTAGCTCACGGGCCTTCAGGCTGTAGTTTGCCAACCCCTGGTCTAAACTTAAAAAAAAATGATAGAGAAAAAGTTAATAATGCCCATTTAAAGCATTTCCTGCACATATTCCTCCCTAAGATACAGCTGTTGACCATTTATCAACATACCCTGGGAAAAAACCCTAGGGAAAGAGAAAGTGAAAAAGAAAACCAGAGTAGGGGGTAAGAAGTTCATTCTCTCAACAAGGAAAACCTTAGAGATGAATCATAGGGGCACCTGGGATTGAGTCAACACCACAGAGTACAGCCCACCCACCCAGGCTTCTTGGGTCTTGCCACAGGCCAGCAGTTTACAAGATGTTGTCGGCAGGGACGTTTCCAGGCAGTATGGGGCGAGGCCGCTCAGGGCCCTGGCAGCTGAAGCCAGAGCAGGAGCCCTTGTGCTTGGCCAATTGCTCCAGGCTGCCCACCTGGCACAGCCCCAGGGCTATCACGTGGTAAAGGGAGGGGCCAGAACTCACCTTCTTCAGCTTGTCATTTTCTTCTATGTATTTCTTGGCAGCTTCACTGGCACCCTCAGCCTGTTTTTTGAAGGCTTCATTGGAGGCCAACAGTGTGGCCTGCTGGGAGATAAGAGTCACCAGGCGTCTGAGTAGGCTGTGATTGTTTAAAAAGGAAGAGAATGGCATTTAAACAGGAGAGGAAAATAAAAAAGAGCCAGAAAGCTTGACCTCCAGCTTCTCTCCAGCCCTGACTGACACTTCTGGGTTAAGGGGAGGGCTCCTGCGGCATCCCTATAAGGCACCCATGACACTTTATATGTGACTTAGTCTGCTCCCCATTGACCTCAGAGAGAGACAGTCTCTACCCTCAAAGGTGTAGGGAAGCAATCCCATCTGGTCACAAATAGAGATACCTGAAGTTCTGTCTCCAAGAGCAGACCAGGGCGGCTATGCTGTATCAAATCCACTCCTCGAGAATGGGCTTTTCTTGGCTTTTGTTTTTTGAAGGGGAGGGAGAAGACTCACACTAGGGTCCTTGGAGACAAAGTGAGAAATGCTGAATAGACCCCTTTACAGCCTAAACCTGTTAATGATCTATATCATTTAGACTTGGCCCTGGCCCTGTAAGTGTAAGGCCCAGAGGCAGCCAGAGTTGTATAGGGCATTCCCATGAGGGATGGAGAGGATGGTACTTTAACTTCCACAGGGCAAGCCACCTTGTGGCACAAGGCCTGCCTTGTGTGGTAGGTGGCAGCATCTGGGGGAAGGGTAGACCCTTAGGCCCTACTTTAACTTCCCCTTACAAACTTCCAAGATGTTCATCTCAGACACCCAAATCCTGACAGCCACCACATAAGGCAGGGCTCACAGCAATATAAAACAAACCAAACCAAACCAGGACCTGTGAGCAGAACAGACATCTGATGAGCCTGAATAAGTGAACACAGAGAAGCTGAGCCAGTGCTGGCTTCCTAAGCCCCTGAACCAGCAATCCGAGGGGCCTGGGAGTACAAAGAGCCTCAAAAGCAGCACACAAGCTTCCAAGACTGCAGACCCAGGGCCTAGCCTGGGTGAGCCCTCCTACTCTTGTCTCAGACCCCAATCTTGGACAGCTGTGAGAAGTTCAAGGATTCCCCCATTTCCCTGAAATCTGGGGAGATACTTCTTTACCCACCTACTTTAGGGAGACACTGCTCCCCCACATACACACACAGTTGGGGGGGGAAAGAAGGTATTTGCTAGAGTATAAGAACTTCTCCCCCCCCCCAACTGGCACAAGGATACAAAGGTCACAGAACTAGGAAGTGAGCAAGAAATCTTCACCTCCCAACTCCATTCTCAGAAAAGGACAGAGAACAGACAGGAAAAACAGCAGGGGGCAAAAAAGCTGGGCCCAAGCTACTACCCTGGGACAGTGCTTACTCCAAGCCTGCTGCTCTTTTTTTTTTCTTCCTCCTTCTCCTCCCCTTCCCCTTCCCTACCTCTCCCTGCCTCAAACAAATGCTCACATTTTCCTCGTGGTTTTAGTGGAAAAAAACCTTTTAAAAATAAAAGGCTAGAAGATTTCCCCCAATCCCACCTCCGCCCCCTCATGGGGCTCTGCCTTGCCCAGTTTTTGGACAAGCACTCAGAAGAGAGAAGTGGGGGTGGGGCATGGAAGGCCCTCCTCTTTCCTTTTTTCATTTAATTAACAGCTATTCAGTCATATCCAAGTCAGGGGTACAAGAACCAGGGGGGCTCCCCCAGGAACAGGCCCAGGGCTGACCGGACTGCTGCCATCTGGCAAGAGCAGTGAGTTTCCAGTGACATGTACCCTCTAAAATTAGCGGTCTCAGGGATCTCGTGGCCCAAGGCTCAGATTTCCCTAACTCAGGCTGTAGGACCCCTCCTCAGCCAGGCCCTCTGCACCAAAGGCCTTCCACCAAGGGCCAGGCTGAGCTGCTGAGGAGCAAACCAACAGGACTGTCTCATCTACATACAAAGAGGCAGTCTGGAACCAACCACTGGGGCGGAAGAGAGGGGAGGCACAGTGGAGACAAGAGAGAGATGGGGACCACAGGGATTGGAAAAGCAGGCATGTCTGAGTCAGATCGGCCCCCCCTTCTCCTGCCAGCACAAAGCCCTCTGGGGCTCCAGTGCAGAGGGGAAGATGACGCCAGGTCTGGAGGACCACCCCTTCTGGGACTTCAGAGTGCCATCTTGTGGCAAAGATGGGAACCGGTGGGTACTGAAGGACCTTGGAGCTCAAGCTGGTGAGCACAGACAGCACTTCCCTCCCCATCCTAGACAAGTGGCTGACATGAGAAGTGTTCAAGAACACTGGTAAGTAGCCAAAGCTGCATTGCTAAAAGGCTGGACCCACACTAGTGGTGGCCAACCAGCAGGTCAACAGGAGCAGAAGGAGCCTAGCTCTTCACTGCTGCTGCTGCCGCCTCCTTCCTCCTGTCATCACTGGATCAGGGCAAGAGCAAGCCTGACATGTGCTAGGGGACAGCATGCAGTCTGAGCCCCAAGAATTCCCATCTAGCTCCTTCCCTGTCCCTCGCTGGGCCAAACCAGGACCACCTGCAGCCCTTCACCCAAAAGGGGCAAGTTGAGAAATGGAGGGTGCCTCAGGCTTGCTCTACCATCCCTTTCACCAGAGGCCTCCAACTTTACCAGAAAAATCAAGGTCATTTGCCATCAGCCACCTCCAAGCCCCTCTCCCTAGCCCTCCACTCTCCTCTTTTTGGTGTGAGGAAGACAGAGCCCTACACCTTGCCAAGGCCAACCTTTATACTGGGGCCCCTGATCTCTTACCTATGCAAGATGCTTTGGAAACCTTAAGCCACCCAGACATTGGCTGCCCACCCCCTCCAGTCCCCAACCTCACCCCACTATCACTAATTCCCACCGCCTTCAAGCACGTTTTGGTCTCCTTGACTCAGCTCTTCTATTCCACAACTAAACTCACGGAAAAAGCTATCTCTACAATTGCCAGGGGCTGCAAAGTGGAGGTGAAGATGCTGCTCTCCCCAAGGTGACCAGCAAGTCCAAGGGCCTTTCTCCATCTTCTTTCTCTTTGACATCGCTTCTGCTGCTGTCAACCACTCCTTCCCCCATCTTCCACAACAATCTTCATCTAGTTCTCCCATTACCCAACTGATCCTTCTCTATCTCTTTTCCTGGACCATCACCCACCTCCCAACCCCAAGGGGTTCCCTCAAGGCTCTGTCCTGGGCCTCCTCTTCATTTCCTCCCTTGGTGAACCCCATGGAGCTCTATGGGGAAGACTTCAAAACCCACACAGCCAGCCCAATTCTCTCTTCTAAATTCCAATTCTACACCATCAACGACCATGGGGATGTCTCATCTCTAGCCCTCACCCAAACTTCCCTATTTCTGTTATGGACACCACCTAATCAATCAGCTTTGCAATCTAGGAGTCTTCCTTGACTCTTGATTCTCAGTCACCCCCCACATCCAATCAGTTCCCAAGGTTTATCAAGTCTACCCCCACCACCAAGTCTCAATGTATGCTCCCCTTCCTCCACTCACCAGACCTCCAACTTAGCTCAGGACCCCATCACCTCTCACCTGGACTATAGTAATAGCTGCCTCTTTGGGCTCCCTGCCTCCAGTTTCTCTCCTCTCTAATCCATTCCCCACACAGCTGCCAAAGCACAGATCCAATCACATCAGTCCTCTACTCCAAGATCCCTAGGGGCTCACTAATGCCCACAGGACAAAATGCAAGCTCCTCCGTGCCCTTCACAATTGGGCTCCAACATACTTCTGCAGACTTGTTTCCCATGACTCTTCTTCTTGTACTCTGTTCAGCTCGACTGGCCAACTTGCTGATTCCCAAACATTCCACCCCTCTTCTCCATGCCTCTGTATAGAGGCATGTTCCCCGGAAATGTACTCCCTTCTTCCACCTCTGCTCCTCAGAATCTGGAGCTTCCAGCCAGGCTCAGCTGGGACACTTCTCGAAGTTGCACTTAACTTGTTTGGAGGTGCCATTTCCCCAGTACACCCTGGGGGAAGGGGCACACACAATGTCTGCCACTACTGGCTGTTGGGTGAGTAGTTCTCCAGTCCAGCCCTAATTTTACAGATGGAGACACTAAGGGGGGAAGGGGTGTCCCAATATAGCCACCTTTTCCAATGTACAAACTGGAAGAGGCCAACAAAAAGTTGGTTGATAATATCTGCTGTTAATGTTGTTTGTCCTTCTTTCTTGAAGGCATCATGAAGGTGATGCCATGACTTGCAAATGAATTGGATTTGAGTGAGGGAGGGCTGTGCAAGGTCACCAACCTCACTTTCTCCTCTGGAGCTATCTGGGTCCCGTGACAAGATATAGATCAGGACGACTGGAGATGGCCCCAGACGCAGTGGGAGACTTTGGCCTTACTAAACTAAGGTCTTTCAGAGTTGTCACTTTGACTCTGAGGCAACGCCCATTCAGTGATTAAAGCTAAGAAGTGAGCCAAGGAATGGCTTTTATCTAATGAAAAAAAAAATCAGGAAGGGGACCAGAGTTTCTGGCCAAAACAGCAACATTTACTATTTATATACACTCTGAGCCACCAGGACCCAAACAATGACCACTAAGTGGGTGGTTGGGCTGGGACCTATTGTTGACCAATCAATGAGAGCCAGAGTGAACTGGATTTAAGGCACAGTCTTTAAGAAAGAAATCTAGCCATTAAAGAAATCTAGCCAGCAAACCCCAAGATATCTTGTTGGGTTTCAGCCATCAAAATTTATATTCCTTTGGGCAGAGTACCTATAGGCAAGGGCATGCCATGTGGACAGAAGGAGAGGGAGGGGAATGAAGGGAAGGTGGAGAGGAGAGGATGAGCTGCTGACCAGCTGGGTGCCCAGTGGAGCAGCTTGGACTACTCATTCTCAAAGTGGACCATGACATCAGGAAGATGATGCCATGACTTGCAAGTGAACTGGATTTAAATAAGGGAGGGCTGTGCAAGGTTACCAGCCTCACTTTCTCCTCCAGAGCCATCTGGGTCCAGCGGCAAGATATCAGGACAAATGGAGATGGCCCCAGATAACATCTGTACATTTACCTAAATGGTCCAATACAACACCAGCCCTGAGCCAGACAAAAAACAAACCAAAAAAAAAAAAATCAAAAACAACCGGACCAGATGC